GAGAGCAGTGCTGTGGCCTACTCTTATATCGAATTCCAACTACCAAGGGATCTTTAACCCGTTTTTCATCCCTATTAAACAACTGTCCCTGTCAGGATCTCCATCCTGCACCAATGATAACAGGGAAACAACACTACAAAATCCTGATGAACTTTCAGAGTACAAAATTAAGCGAACACCATAGCCCCTCCCCCATTATAAATTAAATTAACATCTGAGCACACAAGAGCAATATAGCTAAAATCATAACTGCAAACTAAAATAATTCAAATTGAATCTAATAAGGGGAGCAAGAAAACCCGAAATGACACTTTCCCTTCTGATGCACTAGAGAGAGATGGGGTTTAACATCCACTTGGCACAAACCAGATCATTTTGGGACTAACACATGGTTCAATTTTATTTCAATAATTCGCTTGCGCGATGTGGTCTTCAGCAGTGGGAGGAAACCGGAGGACCCGGAGAAACCCCATGAGGTTGGACAGACAACCCTACTCCTTGTCACGTACAACTGGGGATTTGAAACCACGCCATCTGACTCAATGACAGGCCTTATGATACAGCGCACACGTGTTAACTATTCAGCCAACGAATCCCCCTGAATCTATAAAGGGATTATCAGTATAAGTAACTGAATCCAACTTGGGAGATTATTTAAAGTTGATATAATTTTGTTATCATTTGCATGATAAAGACTAAAATCTTATCGTTGAAAAGTCACATGTTAATAAAACCAGTAATTGTTATTCCATAAATAGTTTTTGGTTTGTTACTATTTTATTTACTTATGTCAGGTTCCCACTAGAACAAGACGGAAGACAACAGTAGTGGAATCATTTCTAGATGAAGGAAAATCCAACGAGCTTAAGACAGGAAAATGTACTTTTGCATGTCATGGACATTTTTACCAAACTAGAAATGCGTTGTTATTTATGTGGATCAGTAAAAAAGTCATCTTCAGGAGTTCATCAGAAGTCTAACGTGAAAAACATCATCTCCACCTTCATATAAACATATTATAAATAGAAATCAAATGGGGTTTAGTCAATTATTAGTCAAGGCCATAATATTACTACACAATTTATTACATGATCATAAAGGAGACACCTTGAAAAAAATGAAAAAATGAAATGGGGTTTAACGTCCTACTGTTCTGCTCGGAACTGGGCTAATGAAGATGGGCATACGCCATACAGTGTGCCTACTCTTATATCGAATTCCAACTGCCAAGGGATCTTTTACATGCACACCAATGTATACAACGGACCTCGGCTTTTTCGTCCCATCCAAACAACTAGACAGCTGTCCTTGTCAGGCCCTCCGTCCTACACCACTGACAACTTTCCCGGGATATAGAGTACCCAATTAAGCACCATAGCACCCACCCACCCACCCGCACTTTCATAAATTCAATAATATCCAAGCACACAAGAGCAATATAGCTAAAATCATAACTGCAAACTAAATAATCCAAATTGAATCTATAAAGGTAAGTAAGTGAATCTATAAAGGGATTATCAGACAGTCCAAGTAATTGAATCTATAAAGGGATTATCAGACAGTCCAAGTAATTGAATCTATAAAGGGATTATCAGTACAAGTAATTAAATCCCAACTTGGGAGATTATTTATTGTTGATATAATTTTGTAATTATTTGCATGTATAAAGACGAAAATCTTATCGTTGAAACGTTGCATGTTAATAAAACAGCAATTGTTATCCCATGAATCGTTTTTGGCGTGTTACTGTTAAATAACTAACACCACTCAAAGAAGTTTTGATTTTGTTTAAACATTTAAAAATGTTGAAGCGAAAATTGCTTATTTTCTAAGAAAGTTAAAACATGATTCTTTCTAAATCTATTACAATCATAGGAATCAAACCAGCACATAACCATTCATGTAAAATAACAAGTGAATAATAGGATTTAGAAATTATCCTTTAACAAGGAATGACTTGTATTTTAAAATGCAATTATCGCTTTAAATTATCAGCATTTAGCGTGGAATAAGTCTTGAAAAGACATGGACAAGGCTTTAATGAAAAGGGGGAAAATCCGAAGAGCTTAAGACAGGAAAACGTACTCCTGCATACCATGGACATTTTTACCAAACAAGAAACATGTGGTTATGTATGTGGATCAGTCAAAATTCATCTTCATGAGTACATCAGAAGTCTAACGTGAAAAACATCATCTCCACTTTCATATAAAGATATTATAAATAGAAATCAAATGTGGTTAAACATCCTACTGTTGTGCTTCGACTGGGCTATTGAAGACAGGCATAAGCCATACAGTGTGCTATGAGGGAAATTTAGCCAGGCAGCTGCACCATGACCTACTCTTACCTATATCAATTCCAACATGCACGACCTTTTACAATAAATAGGGGGTTGGGGTGGCCAAGAGTGTAGTGCTGCGAGCTCTGGCTTGCGGTCGTGGTGACCGGTTGAAGTTGGGTTTTTAACAACCAGTTAACCGGTTCAATAATTTTTGAACTGTTACATCCTTAGTTAAAAGGAGAGAGAGAAATGGAGTTTAACATCCACTGGACACAAACTAGGTCATTTCGGGACTAACATATGGTTCAATTTTATTTCAATCGTTCGCTTGTGCGTAGGGGTCTTTAGCAGTGGGAGGAAACCGGCAGACCCAGAAAAAACCCACGAGGTTGGAAAAGAGACCCTACTCCTTGTCAAGTACAACTGGGGAATCGAAACCACGGCAAATGAACCAAAATCAAAATACAAAACACTAAATAACCACACGGCTTGGATTGAACCTAGTTAAAAAGAGACATCAAAATAATTCAGAGGAAGGCCTAGGTTGCTTGCGTTGACTAAACGTAGTTGGATGTTTATTCAACCGATATTCCTTTTCGAGATTCAACTGTAACAATATTGTAGTTGCTATTCCTATCAGAGATTCAACTGTAACAATATTGTAATTTACAAGTGATTCCTCAATTGACGTTCAGAGAATTAATATTTATAGTGGATCAGTTGAAATTATTCTTCAAATAGATTCAGAAGTCTAACGTGAAAAACATCATCTCCACCTGGGCTAGAAATAATAGACCCTCCTCCCAGCTAGTCGTCATTACATAGTCCCTGGTCAACAGGAGTCACCACTTGATAAGGCCTGCATTACTTTATCAAATTTTAAATCAAAACCATCCAATCTGATTAAAACACAGATCCTATTTCATTTCGTTTTTTATATAGTTCAAAATTTCATTTTACTTGTCGTTACTACACTAGGATCTGCAAGAGTTGTTATATAACCCTCGTTCTGTATGATGGGAGGGATTAGCCAATGAAACGGTCTGTTACGAAGAGTTTTTGGCGTTGAGGTGCACAGAACGGTGGTTAATCAAATGTCTGACATCATACGGTCAAAAGCTGTTTGTAAGACCTCTTCTAGACCTTCCACTACAACCAGTCAGATCTTCATGTTATGCAGGCCATCGAAAGTATAAAAAAACAAGCCAACAATGAGGCTGATGTCCCCCGCCGAAATCCCAAAATAAATAGATGACACATTAATTAATCGCACATTTATTTTTTTCAAAAGTATCGAGCAATCAAATTATACACTAAGTTTCAGCACTCTCTATCAGATAGAATCAAAGTTATCTTGTCCCAAAGCATCGACCAATGTTAATAATTGAACTCAGCCATGACATGACAGCAGAAAATACTCATTATCAAACTTAGTCAAGGTAATGATATAATAAAGCTATACACCAAGTGTCCTCACTCTCACTTAATTAGAACTAAAGTTATCGTGTCCCAAAGCATCAACCAATCAAATTGCTTATCCCTGCTTACTCTAAGCAAAAAATTCTCATTTTCACACTCCATCAAGGCATTCACCTAATAGCCACCTATGCCAAGTGTGAACATTCTAACTCAACTAGAATGAGAGTTATTGTGTTCTAAAGTCTCGACCAATCAAATTGCTTATCTCTGCTTAACCCAAGCACAAAATGCTCATCTTCGAACTCCATCAAGACATTAACCTAATAAACACCTACACCAAGTTTGAACATTCTAGCTCAATTAGAAAAGGAGTTAATGTGTTCCAAAGTCTCGGCCAATCAAATTGCTTATCGCTCTGCTTACCCTAAGCAGAAAATGCTCATTATCGAGACTTAGTCAAGGTATTGATATAATAAAGCTATACACCAAGTGTCCTCACTCTCCCTTTTAATTAGAACTAATGTTATCAGGTCCCAAAGCATCAACCAATCAAATTGCTTATCTCTGCTTACCCTAAGCGGAAAATGCTCATCTTCGAACTCCATCAAGGCATTGACCTAATAAACACATACACCAAGTTTGAACATTCTAGCTCAATTAGGAAGAGAGTTTTTGTGTCCCAAAAAGTGTGACGGACAGACAGACGGACAGACAGACGGACGAACCCATTTTAATAGTCCCCTGCTTTCTTCGAAAGGCGGGGGACAAAAACGAAACGAAACATAGATCTGTATTTTAATCAGATTTAAATCCATCCAAATTGTTTCCCCCCCCCCCCCCCCCCCGAGCGCTCCATTCCAGTTTTCTGATAAACCGTCCAATTGGAAACCAGAAGTTAGAATTCCTATCAAATTTCTCTAATACGGAAACTGCTGGTCAGTGAACAAACTAGAACCACAGTGGCTTGCAAATTAAGTAGAATACACTTTAATAACCACCGACCCATCCAAAAACATCCATGAAATTTACGGTACAATGCATGCCAATATCGAAAAAAGAATTTTGGGATATCAACCTTTCGTCAAAATCAGATCAGAATTGTGACCTGTAGAGTTGTCCATAAGCGAAATATTATTACTTACCACCGACCAAGTTTGAGGTCATAAAAGACATGTTACTAGATAAGTCTTCGGTATATTCACAAAACCAGATGGATTGGGTATTTTTATCGAAATGTTCCCAGAAATAAGGTATAGCTTTAGATACTGTATCTTCGTTGGAATAAACTCGTTTAAATTCATCGTAGTTGAATTCTCTGAAAATAGAACAAAAAATATTGTATAAAATTTAAATTTAGTAATTAATAAGTTAATCAACTAAATTGGCAACTTTTTGAAATGAAACAAAAATGAAATGAAAGTTCAATATCCTATCGTTCTACATCGACTGGGTAGGGCCAATTTGCTACGAGGGAAATTTTAATCAGCTGCGCTACAGACTATTCTTACATCAAATTCCAACATCAAGGGTTCTTTTAAGTGCACACAGGACTTCAGGTTTTTCGTCCCTTCCGAACAACTTGACACTGTCCTCATCAGGTCCTCCCATCCTGCACCACTGACAAGGGGCCATGCGGGAAAATCTCAAGGAACTTTCTCGGTCAACATCGAGGTCGAAATGAAATGAAGGTTTAACGTCCTACTGTTCTGCTCCGAACTGGGCTAATGAAGACGAGCATACACTATACAGTGTGCTATGAGGGAAAATTTGTCTGGACAGCGGCACTACGGCCTACTCTTATATCGAATTCCAACTGTCAAGGAATCTTTTACGTGCGCGCCAATGTGAAAAAGCAGAAACAATATAAATGTATTATTGAAAAAGATACAAAAAAATAAAAAATGAATGTAGTATTACCCTTTAGGGAAGTCAGCGAACGGATCTTTCTTTTCTTTAGGGAAGGATGGCATTTCTTCGTCAGCGGCTGGTGCAGACTCAGCTTTTGGGGCTTTCTGTAAAGACATTATACTTCTGTTAGAGCAGAATAAATAAATAGAATGAAATTATTTGAACACAACTTGTGATTTTATTAAAGATTTATTTTGTATGATGTAACGTTATTGAAATTAATGAACTACATGATTGCCTGAACATGGTGCAAGAAATGATGACATATCCATGTAAAATTTATGGCAATTATGTTTTTGAGAGAGATTAAAGTTCACTCGACACAAACTAGGTAATTTTGAGACTTAACGTATAAAATTTTATTTTAAAAATTTGCCTGCACATAGGTGTCTTTAGCGAGAGAGAAATGGGGTTTAACATCCACTCGACACAAACAAGGTCATTTGGGACTAACATATGGTTCAATTTTATTTCAATAATTCGCTTGGGCGTAGAGGTCTTTAGCAGTGGGAGGAAACTGGAGAAAACCCACGAGGTTGGACAGGCGACTCTACTCCTTGTCACATACAACTGGGGAATCGAAACCATGCCACTTGACTCAATGACAGACGTTACGAGGAGAGCATGAAGAAACAAATTTCATTCATCATGTTAACAAGATTGAAATAATTCTAATGCAATCATAATGTGAAAATATGAAATAGGGAGAAGTGGGGTTTAACAACCACTTGACACAAACTAGGTCATTTCGGGACTAACATATGGTTCAATTTTATTTGAACAATTTGATTGCGCGTAGGGGTCTTTTACCAGTGGGAGGAAACCGGAGGACCCGGAGAAAACCCACGAGGTTGAACATGCAACCCTACTCCTTGTCACGTACAACCAGGGATTCGAAACCACGCCAGTTGATCCATGACAGACCGTATGATACAACGCACACATGCTAACCATCCAACCCTCCCTAAATATGAAATACTTTACAAACCTTTTCTGCTTTTGGTGCAGGTGCTTTCTTCTCTTTAGTTTTACCACCGCCATGAATTTCAGCGTATTTCTTGGCTGAAGTCAAAATAAATGTATAAATATAAACAATTTCAAAAATTAAAGGGTGGAGAGTGTTAATGTCCACTTGACACAAACTAGGTTATTTTGGGTCTAACATATGGTACAATTTTATTTCAATAATAAAGTTAGTGTGTAGGTCTTTAGCAGTGGAGAGAATACCCAAAAGGTTAGAGGAACAAAAATGACCAAATTATGGAGGAACTGAAATGGGTTTAAACTTCCTACTGTTCTGCTCCGAACTGGGCTAATGAAACATACAGTGTGCTATGAGGGAAATTTTGCCCGGACAGCGACACTGCAGTCCTTTATATCGAATTCCATGGGATCTTTATGTGCACTCCAATGTGTACATAGGATCTTTGTTTTTCGTCCAATTTGTACGACTAGACAGTTGTCCTTGTCAGTCCCTCTGTCCTGCACCACTGACAAGGGGGAACCACACCAGAAAGAGATTCAAAGACAATTTTGATATTAACACATGAAAAACTATACAGTGGCAGGTAGCCATACTTTGGATCCAAATAGATTCAAACCGTAAGGCATAATAAAATTCAATCTGATTAGAATACAGATCTATATTTCGTTTCATTTTTAAACTTTCGATTGCCTACACTACATGAAGATCTGACCAGTTGTAGTGATAGTCGCTTCAGAGGTCATACGGGCAGCTTTTGACCCTATGATGTCAGACATTTGATTAACCAATCAGCATTGATGTTTCTAGTGGATTACCCACAGTTCAGTGCAAAACACGCCCAAAGCTCCCCGTAACAGACCGTTTCATTAGCTATTCCCCTCACATCATTCAGAACACGTCAATGATAACAACTCTTCCAGATCCTAGTGTAGTAAAAACAAGTAAAACGATTTTTTGAACTATAAAAAATGAAACGAAATAGGATCTGTGTTTTAATCATATTGAATAAAATTTAGTCTCAAAAGTTCCCCTCATCCATCCTTTTAGTGTACTTGCCTATAAAGCTCCAGAATATGTCAGATTTTAATTCATTTGATCAGGTACAAGTATCGTTATTGTCGGGACTTACAATACTACAGATGGAATTAATTCATATTCAAGCCTGGAAATAAACCACCTGTCGCAGACATTAATACACGTCCGGCACAAAGTTTAAAATCTCTAGTACAGACAGAGAAATGGGGTATAAAGTCAACTCGACACAAAAAAGGTCATTTAGGGACTAACATATGGTTCAATTTTATTTAAATAATTCCCTTGCATGCAGGGGTTTTAGCAGTGGTAGGAAACCCGAGGACTCAGAGAAAACCCAAGATGTTGGACAGGCGACCCTACTTCTTGTCACTTACAATCGGGGAATCTGAACCACGCCAGTTGACTAAATGACAGACCTTATGATACAACGCGCACGTGCTAACCATTCAGCCATCCAACCCCTACAAAATGTCTAGTACAAGTAAAATGTGTGACATGTAATCAAAAAGATAATACCCAACCCATTAATATAACAAGTTGAGTTTATAATTATATCTTTATATGATAATTTATTTACCTCCCTAACTTACACAATATGTAAATTATTACAAACGTGCCTTTTGAAGAGGATAGGTATACAAGGACCCAAGTTCACAAAGCATTCTCAGACTTAAGTTAAGAATTTACTAAACTTTCAATCTCTGTTTATGAAAAATATCTTTGATCCAGAAACACAAAATTTTGCACATAGTTTCTTATTGATGTACTTGATACATTAAAACAAAAGTTTTATAAAGGGCTATATTTCAGTTAAAATAAGGCGAACAATTTTGAGTAAATTCTTAACTGAAGTCTGAGAATGCTTTGTGAACTCGAGGCAAGGCTTAATAACGTGTCCAATATGTAAACCTCAACTATAACCAAGGAAAAGAAATTAAATGGTGTTTAACCTTGGATTTTAATATCCAAATGGCTGTCCTGAGACCCAGGTCGTACGCCACTGACAATAGGAAATCGCGATGAAGAATCTGGAGCACTTTCTCACGACCAACACAGGATCCAAGGGGTTATCAATGTTACAATGCCAGTGTCTAGCCTACTTGGCTACTGCAGCACCCAGAATGGCTAACTTAAAGAATTTAAATCTAAAGGACAGAGAGAGAAATGGGGTTAAACGTCCACTCAACACAAACTAGGTTATTTCAGGACTAACATATGGTTTAAGTTTATTTCAATAATTTGCTTGTGCTTAGGGGTCTTTAGCAGTGGGAGGAAACCGGAGGACCCAGAGAAAACATACGAGGTTGGACAGGCGACCCTACTCCTTGTCACGTACAACCGGGGATTCGAAACCACACCAGTTGACTCAATGACAGGCCTTATGATAGAGCGTGCATGCGCTACCCATTCGGCCATTCATCCCCCCCCCCATAAATCTAAAGGAGTTTCAACATCCTGTACCAAACAGACTAATTATGACAGGCATATGCCATGCAGTGAGATAAATTTTGTCCGACAGTGGCATTTCAAATTCCATCTGTCAAGGGATCATTTATGTGCACAAACGAGTACGCAAGTGAACTCTTGATTTTAACGTCTCATCTGAAGGACTAGACTCTTTTTCGATGCCAGGTCCTGTCTGTCCTGCCCCACTGACAAAGAGGATACTTGGCTCCTCAACACTAAGAGGACAAATAGAAAAACCTAGCTGAAAAATCCTAGAAATGTCTCAAATGTTGATTGTACTAAAACCTTACCATCAAATTGAGCCATTTTATCACATAAATTAATAGTTCCAATAACAGATTTAAATTCTTTCTGGTTGATGAGTGTTTTAAACCATCTGTTCACATTCTGGAAGTCATTTCTAAACGCTGGCTCCAAAACCTGAAAATTACGACAGTTAATTCTATAAAATTCCAAAAACCATGGGTCCTTTAAACAAGCATTACTATCTGGGTTTAATAAGCGAATGGAGAGCGAGAGAGATGTGTGGGGTGGGGGTGTAATGGTCACTTGACACAAACTAGGTCATTTCCAGACTAACATATGATTCAATTTTATTTCAATAATTTGCTTGCGTGTAGGAGTCTTTAGCAGCGGGAGGAAATGCGCATGCGCTAACCATTGGGCTTTAATCATCTTGAAAGTTTTCCACGATTCTAGGACATTCTAATTTCGAGCCTAGTATTCTCATCAAATTAGTACAGGTCCGTCGAAAATCCAGGAGAATCTTCAGCCCAGTCCCACGCACCGCCCATTTTGCCCCCGACACGCTGACCCCCACCAGTTGAATTGTTCCGACGAGTAGAAATATAACCTATGAAATGGCGACATGATTTTTACCAAGAGAGAGAGAAATGGGGCTTAACGTCCACTCGACAGAGACTAGGTCATTTCGGGACTAACATATGGTTTAATTTTATTTACATAATTCGCTTGTGCATAAGGGTCTTTAGCAGTGGGAGGAAACCGGAGGACCTGGAGAAAACCCACGAGGTTGGACAGGCGACCCTACTCCTTGTCACGTAGAACCGGGGAATCGAAACCCCGCCAGTTGACTCAATGACAGACCGTGTGATACAGCGTGCGCGTGCTAACCATTCGGCCATCCAACCCCCCTTTTTTTTACTAAGAGTAACTTACATATTGGTAGAGCATAAGTAGATTACAAGCCACACTAATATCAGCTTGAGATATTCTATCACCAACTAAATATGTCCTCGTTAAAAGTCTCTCATTTAATACACCTAAAGCCTTCTTGATATTTTGTTTGGCTTTCTCCGTCTCCTGTAACATAATAATAAACATGACAATTGAATATGGCGGTCAAAAAATACAACAGTCAGGGGTTTAATATAGGCTATGCCTGTTCCCCAAATACTATTCAGATACAAATCTGAATAAAAATATTGATTTAAAAATAAAAAAAAAAAAGTCAATGCATTTCGTAATTTATGTTGAAATTTGTGTTGAAACATATCATTTAATTTTTATAATAATTGTAACCATTACAATATACTCTCAATACAGATTTCAGATATTTTTCAGATGTTCCAATATCCAAATGCATTAAAATTTTTTTTACTAAATTTTGTATACAAAATCAACGAATCCTGATGGCTACTTACTCATACTCGGCTGTCACCCACAATAAAATGCAAATTTATAAATTGTTTCAGTTAAGATAATTTCAATATTTATAGATGATTTACCACAATTTGAAAGAATTCATTACTACACCTACCTTTCCCAACGGGAACCTTTTTTAGGAATTGACTGTCTCTATTCGTTTCGCCGAATTTGAAGTCAGCTGGAATAGTCAGTTTAGCACCACTATATTGGGCAGCTATCAGAGCTTTATACGCCCTGAAGTTGTTTGGGAAAGTATACAAAATCAACGAATCCTGATGACCACAAATGAAGTATATCCAGCCAAACAATTTTTTCCTCAATATCAAACCGATTACAAATTATAGACGAACCTGTTTGTTAAATTGTACTAATCCAAGACAAGGGAAGACCCACGTACAGGCATTTGGTAAAACTTCATTATCTCCAAAGTTTATCCACTGTAACACTTCAGCAGCATTCTGAGGATTTTCTCCATTTAATTTTGCATTGCCAACTAAAATGAAAACAAAAGTATTAAATGGTGGAATTCTGAAACATTTAGGGATTTAACATATCTTTCAGCTTCACCTGTGCTAGGGTCTGCACCACCTGGGCAAGGGTCTGCACCACCCGGGCTAGAGTCTGCACCACCTGGGCTAGAGTCTGCACCACCTGGGCTAGAGTCTGCACCACCTGGGCTAGGTCCCCCCCACCTGGGCAAGGATCTGCACCACCTGGGCTAGGTTCCCCACCACCTGGGCTAAAACAACAATGTGCCTTTAAAAGACAACCATTGACAAGACAGTGTTTTTGCCTACTTTTAACATCAAGATTTCTTGTACGAAATGAATGATTATCAGACGTGGTTTCCCCTTATCAGTGGTGCAGGATGGTACAAAAAAAACAAGATACTGTGTACACATTTGGTCATGGTATTATAAATGTAAGTTTCATCATTGTTGGGATAATTCTTACCGTATGCAGCAATAGCGTTACTTTCAAACAATGCAACTCCATCTTTTGACTCAAAGGCGGGTACCTGGAAAGACACATTAATAATGCATTATAATAAGAGCTATAAATATGCCTTAGTCTCGGTTGTCCAGTACTGTTCCCATGGAAACTTTTCATCTTAAAACAGTTATAACTTAGCCCACAAACTTCGAACAAAATTTTCAATATATTCCTTTATCATCTGTTTGGCAGTGTATATTTTGCCGTCCAACGTTTCTTTACTTTATTTACTATTTAGCCTATTTAGCCGTCACTTCCATTTGACATGCACAGTTGTCTGATTCCTGGACTTATCAGTGGCAATGATGCAATTGTATTCTTCCTTTGTCTAACTTTGCTTCTTTCTCCTTTCTTATAAGGAAGCAAATAGCCATACTTGAATTCCTTATGGTAGAAACTGGAGAATTATTTTTAAAAGAAAATAAGATAATAAATTTAAATTGTAGAAAAGCATTTAGAATATTATTCTATTTTGGTCGAGGGCGCATTTCTGCGGATTTTGGTTTTTAATTTAAGTACTTAGACTGTCAGTGGTTTATGTTTTTCCCATAAAATCGTGCTTCTGCGCCGAACTTGAAAGGCGAGTTTTTAATGTTCCAAAATGGTGGAATATATCAGGAATCTGACAACTGTGTATGTCGAACGGAAGTACGGCTAAATAGTAAATAAAGTAAGGAACCGTTGGACGGCAAGTATACACTTCGTATCTGTTTTAGAATTATTATAGCGAGATCAACCAGCTTTTTTTTTATCTAAATTTTACATAATACTTTTTGGGGTAAAAATGATAAAATATTAGGAGTATCCAATTGACAAATATTAAGAAAGATTAAAGTAGCTAAGTCTCTAACTCAATATCATCCAAAATCTTCAACATTGAAAACACAAATTATTTGTCAAATTAAATCAACATTCATGTTGTGATCTTACCGGAAAAAGACGGGCTTTTGATATCCACTATTTAAGACAAAATAAACATTTTACCATTGGTACACGAATCGTGTACCATAATGTGCTTCAGCTCCAGTTGTATCAAGAGACTCGAGGGATGAGGCTAGACACATTGAGCCAAATCAAACGGCGGATGTAGACTGGAATAACCAGACGCTAGAAATTTGCACTCGCTTGAGACTGCTGGCTTATTTCGCCGAACATAACTGATTTGAAATTGGAGTAAAAACGGAAACCATTGAATGTAAATCAGTTTATATACATTCATATTACAGAATTATATGCGTTGCGACCCACTTTTGTCAATTTCTAGGTCCCAAATGTTAGTGATTTAGCTCCTTTAATATCCAGATGTTGTAGGCTGGAAATTAGGTCCACCTCACAGACCGGCACAATCAAAACAGGCCTATTTCCAGTTGGTGGCAGTAACGTGGAGAAGAGTGGGGGAGAGTAAATTAAAACTAATGGGAGTCCTTATTTACTATCCCCTTCTTACATTACTAAATAATAAATTGGCAGATGGTTGCATCACTTACTGGTCGGCCACCTACTCATACTCGGCTGTCACCCACGATAAAATGCTAATTTATAAATTGTTTCAGTTAAGATTATTTCAATATTTATAGATGATTTACCACAATTTGAAAGAATTCATTACTACACCTACCTTTCCCAACGGGAACTTTTTTAGGAATTGACTGTCTCGATTCGTTTCGCCGAATTTGAAGTCAGCTGGAATAGTCAGTTTAGCACCACTATATTGGGCAGCTATCAGAGCTTTATACGCCCTGAAGTTGTTTGGGAAAGTATACAATGTCTGTAAATAAAACCAAAATATTTATTTCACATTGAACAAATATTATGTGGGCATGTCGTGATGGAAAATTTATTGTAATTCAGCATGAGATTGCTTAGATATTACAAGGATTAAATACATGCTGCCGGTTTCTACTTACACCCGACGCCATGTTCCCGATTAAAGGAAGTTACGTTGCAAGTCAATATCCGACGCCTGCGCACAAAGGCATCCGTATTCCTTCAATGCCCGGATGTCATAGTTACAGGAAAGTGCATGTTGGAAATATTAGGGATAGCACTTTAGTCGGAATTTATAATTTAAAATGGTAAGTTTGGGATTCCAAAGGTGGAATAATAGGTGCCCCAAATGTTGAATTACCAATCGGCCATATTAATTCTTGAGAATTATGAGAGATTTCTGGTGAAATCTCGAACGGTTTCAGGTTTCCAGACCGTCATCATAATCATATCATCTGACAATTCCTGAAAAGGATCATCAACACTGTTTTGTACTGCCAGAGGCGTTGCAGTTTACATGGTAGTAGCAGTAATTATGCACATAGTTCAAATTCTCTGTCTGTTCTGTTATGGCCAATGCATTCATATTTTTGCACAGGCATTATTAGCTATCCATATTAATTTGATATAAAAACCCATCTTCATTAACTTAACTTAAAACCTGGTTGGTGCAAACACAAGTACAGTCAGTAGTTAACCATTAATCCCCATTTTACTTTAGTTCCTTGAATTTGATTACAATTATAATACAATATTTAGTGAAATTGTGTAGGGTTATGAAGGTAGCCTAGCCCAAGCCTAACCTAAGGCCTGGGTAGCAATTCGACACTTTCTTTCACACCTCTACCTGTTTCTGTGGTCGTCGTCGTAGAGACATGAAATTTTCAGGGGATCAGTGCTCAGGCTGACCTTAAAAATATCTTTGTTTCACCAAACCCGACCCACAATCGAGGAGAGGGGTCGGTAGGTCGGGTTTTTTTTCAGATTTTTTTTTTCAAGAGCTAATTTGACAGCTTGATAATTTTCCGGGTGCAAACATTTGTTTTATTTTATTGGCAAACAAATCAATGACATCGGGATTTTTCTTGATGCACGACTCGCACACAAATTGCGACAAACTCACGTTTGAAACTCCCTCAACACGTTTTTAACGATCGTGCGGGTTGTGCCTTCATTTTTCTCGAGAACGGATATTGAAAATATCGTCGTCATGTTTAAAACGACGCCCCACAGACATAGAGGCAGAATCATTTCGTGGGAATGGACGTGCTTTCGTCTGCAACCATTTTGTTGAGAAGCGACACCTATGACGCTTTCGTCTTGATCAACCAGTTTCAATAATGTATCAAACCATAGCCATAGTAAAGGGAAATAACTCTCGTGATATATTTCAGGTTGACACACAAAATAAAATAAAAAGATCGCGGAAAAGTGCAATAAAATAATTTAAGTCGGGGGTGGTTTTAGTTAGTCGGTCGCGTTAGGCGAAACAAAGATATTTTTAAGGTCAGCCTCACTCGTATTCTGGGAGGTAGTCTAGTGCCAGTGTTTGTTGAATGTTGACAGTTGAACATTTTGTTCGTTTTTTGGTCTTACTAATATGCAGTTTCTCACATTTACAGTACACATGAAAGTACTACAGTAGCCTGGCCCAACCATATGATCTAGGTAGCAATTCTTGATCAATGCTCACTCACAACCTGTTGTTGACAGTTGAATTTCTTGTTTTTATTTTTGGTGTAGATGCATATCTTTCCAGAAAAGCTTCTTCCCAATTCTTCCCCTTGTCAGTGATCTCTTGGCAGTTGGAATTCGATATAAGAGTAGGCTGTAGCGCCGCTGCCCGGACAAAATTTCCCTCATAGCACACTGTATGGCGTATGCCCGTCTTCATTAGCCCAGTTTAGGAGCAAAACAGTAGGACGTTAAACCCCATTTCATTTCATTTCTTCCCAATTCTCTCAGGCAAGTGATTGATGAAATATATGTACCAGGTGTACACACCCGGTATTCACTAACTAGTCACTAGCGTGGTTCTCCATATTAGCACTTCAAATAAATCAAATGGGCTTTTGCTCACACTCTCCTTGGCATGCATGAAATCATATTTGGTGGAGATTTTTATTAACCACCTTACCATATCTTATCACTCGTTTTTTGTATTTTAGAGGAGAGCCGAATTAAAGCTCCCCTTCAAGGAACAAATTGAAAAATTCTCTCCTGTAAAAAAGCTCTCCCAGTTTCGATAAGAAGAGTGATTCAGAAATTAAGTAGAGTGATCTAATATTAAGGAGAGTGATTAGTTGTATGTAAATGGAAGATCAATAACTACATGTAAGGTGTCATTCCTGGTTACATGAATGACAATAAACATCGTCTGCTAAATATTAGCACTCGAGTCGTATGGTCAAAAATGTTTGCTATTGTCTAAAACTACTTATCAGTAGGCAAAAAAACAAACCAATGTCTTTACTGTGGTTACCTAACAGACCCTATGTTTTTTAGCCCTATTCACTGACCCTAAACTCTTCTGTATTCATTTCCCAGTCCCTATAAAACTCAGTCTTTGGAGAAATTCCAACATTTCTTAGTATTCTTACAAATCTTACTCATTAAATAAGCTAGAAATCTTAAAGGGGCATTATGGAAGAGTAGGTAAAGAGCTGGCAGTTCTCACTATAATAGTTTTAAAAAAAAAATAATGTAAAGGGAATATGCTGAAAATTTCAGTCAAATTTCTCAACTTTTAATCAAGATATTAGCGATTGAATTTTAGGCATAGCCTCGATTATCATTACTAAAGTCGATATGATAAAAAAAATAGTCTCAATTATCCATTTTTGGATTTAATCATCATGGAGCGTTGAGCAGCAGATCGGATTCAAATCCAGTGAAAATCTGACACATAATATGTCATCACTCATCATGAGTTGATTAATATCTTTTCATGTTAAAGGACAATATTGGTGTCAGTCATTATCACATATGTGATAGAACTGTTTAAACACATTCCAAATATAATTTTAACACAGAGATCAATTCTTTTTATGAATTTTCAGATAGCCTTTCACAGTCTCACACAACAACTTTTGGTCTTCCTCATGTACATGTATCTGTTATCTCTCGTCACTTCAGTGATAACTCATGTTTTCCTTTTGCGTTTGTCACTTCCGATGGTTGGAACCGTGATTATGCATCTATCGTAGCAATGATCTCTGTGTTAAAATTATATTAGGAACATGCTTAACCAATTCTATCACACAAATGTGATGTGATATTGTCCTTTAATAAATATCTAATTTTGGAAAATGGTGGCTGTAATAACCGAAAGGCACGCATTAGGTTTAAAATTTCAACGGATTCGGATTAAGCATCAAATTTTGTCTTAAGAAGCATTCGTAGTGTCAGTATTGTGTGAAAAATTGTCATATTTACCCCTTATTTCTGAAGCAATGGCCCGAAAAATCCCTCTCTGGCCATTGCTGGATTGACTTACCGGTACTTGAGCTTTTGAGGGAGTGTGTCTATACTTCCTGTTCAGCAACATGGCAGCCCTTTGTTTAATGTTTCGTGAGTCATGACGTAACGGGTCGTAACGTTTTGTAAACAATGTGGAGCTCTGTTTACCCGAATGACATTGTTACGCAGTTAGGTATTGGATGTTAATCGAACTATTGACAGGAGGTTGGATGGCCGAATGGTTAGCACGCACGCGCTGTATCATAAGGCCTTGAGTCAACTGGCATGGTTTCAAATCCCCGGTTGTACGTAACAAGGAGTAGGGTCGCCTGTCCAGCCTCGTGGGTTTTCTCCGGGTCCTCCGGTTTCCTGCCACTGCTAAAGACCCCTTTGCGCAAGCAAATTTTTGAAATAAAATTTAACCATATGTTAGTCCTGAAATGACCTATATTGTGTCGAGTGGACATTAAACCCCATCTCTCTCTCTCTTTCTCTCTCTCTCTCTCTCTCTTTCTCTCTCTCTCTCGAACTATTGACCAGTTATAATTTGGAACAGAAATTTGTTTTCATTACGGCAGTGCTTGAGTGGGATTAGGTCTAATCAAATGAAATGCTGAGAGGAGTATGCAGCAGACCATATTTCTGATATAGCCAATACAAACCAATAGCACCTATGACTATAACATAAATTTTGGATGTGCTCCATTTTAATGCGATTGAATTCAAGTCGTGAGATTATCTACCTCTGATATTTGTCAGTGCCCCTGAACCTGTGATATGAAAGGTTATACTTTGCTGTAATGATAATAATATTATAAGCTTATACATGTAGGTTAAATTGTGTGTTCTTATATTAGTTTTAAACATACATTATGCAAGAGCTAAATCTGCCTATTGCAGGTCTTTCTTTAGGCCTGAAATGTTTTCTAAATTATTAATTAGACATTAATTATCTGATCCAGGCCTTAATCAACTTTCGATGGCATCAGATTTCTCCGATATTAAATAGATTAGAATGGTTCAGCGATACTTTGATTTAATCAATTATGGAGGACCGAGACTTAGCTTCGATCAACCAGTACGGTGGTTGAAATCATTGCACACGTCTGTCAAACCTTCAAAGGCTAATATCTTTGCTTGCAATAGAGTAATTTGAATGAAATTTTCAAATTATTCATTTTACATCATCTACTTTCGAACTATTATAGCAAGAATGGCTAGTTCTTTATCTAAATCTTACATAATGTATCTTTAATTTAACAAAAAAAACATTTATTGTCATATATGTTTGTCGATTATGATTGATTGATGGAGGGTGTGTTATAAAATGATTTAACGGTTGCTATTTTGTTTATTTTACAGGGGAATGAAAACAGCCTTCCATTAGAACTTTGTTCTACCTGTAAGTTTTACAATCATTTTACTACTCCCCTATGCGTTCTATAATTAAATCAATATTTTGTGTGAATGAATTCGTGCGTACACTTCCCTTGTATGTGCTGTATTGACTACCATCTGTGCCTTTGAAATGAAATACACCAGTGTTAGGTTGTAATATTATCAGAGTGAAATCATAAGTAGTCATATTGATTCCTTTTCACTATCTGGGGAATTAATCCTGCGTTAGGTGAAGCATGTCTGATAATTATTTATTTTCTATCACTAGTATCTGTGAATTAATTCAGAGCTTCCCAACTTTTTCTACACTTGGGACTTTTTATTAATCTCTGAGGCCTTTCTTATCTGCATTAACAGACACTGTTCAGACAGCTTTCCTATGTTAGTGGTGTTAGGGGGAGAGAAAAAAGGGTTTTAAGAAACTAGGTCATTTCGGGACTAACATGGTTCAGTTTTATTTCAATAATTCACTTGCGCATTGGAGTCGTTAGCGGTTGTGGGTTGGATGGCTGAACGGATAAGCGTGCGCTGTATCATACATGTAAGGTCTGCCATTGAGTCAACTGGCGTGGTTTCCATTCCCCGGTTGTACGTGTCAAGAAGTAGAGTCGCCTGTCCAACCTCATGGATTTTCTCCGGGTACTCTGGTTTCCTTGCATTGCTAAAGGCCCCAACGCGCAAACAAATTACAGAAATGAAACTGAACCATGTGTTAGTCCCAAAATGACCCGGAGATAACCCACAAGGTTACTAACAATAGTAACATGTACATGTACGTAGAGTTTACACTAACTCTTTTTGCAAACTGATCCAAAAGCAAGTTACATCATCAACTCATAGCAAGATGATCACCATTCCTAATCATGCGACTCCTCTGCTACCAGTTTCGACGAGGTTAAATATACGAAGGGTTAGCGCATGCACGTTGTATCATAAGGTCTGTCATTGAGTCAACTTGCGTGGTTTCGATCCCAAGGAGTAGGGGTATCTGTTCAACCTCGGGGGTTTTCTTCAGGTCCTCTGGTTTTCCTCCCACTGTTAAAGCACCCTACGCGTGAATTATTGAAATAAAATTGAACCATATGTTAGTCCCGAAATGACCTAGTTTGTGTCAAGTGGATGTTAAACCCCATTTCTCTCTGCTACCAGTTACTGAAATTTATTGCGCAAATAAAAGACAACAATTTTACTTCACAAACCCTCTTTTTCCCCTGCTGATCCCTTTAATTTTGCGAATCTCCAAAATTGTTTCTTCGACCCTCAAGCGTCCACTGAAATAATTGATCCATATTATCAGTTATATAATATTTAAATTATTTAAAGGGACATTATGGGAGATTAGATAAAGAGTTGACAATTCTCATTATAAGAAATAAAATATAGATAATGTAAAGGGAATTTGCTGAAAATTTCAGTCAAATTGATCCACTCGGAACCAAGGTATTAGCGATTGAATTCCTAGCCTCGATCATCATTACTAAAGTTGGTACGATAAGAAACTTTGATTATCCATTTTGACGTTAATTCATCCATCACAAAATGTATTCAAATCCTGTAAATATCGCAGGCTAAAGATGACATCGAGAGTTGATTATGGTCTGGATTATTTAGATAACATTTCAGACCTAGAAAAAGACCTGCAATAGGCAGATTTAGCTCTTGCTTAATGTATGTTTTTAAAGTTGACTTTCAAAGATTGGATAAAAATGAGAATGAAATGATGTTTTACGTTCAATTTTATTAATTAATTAAAATGTTTTTTACAGTTGATGCAGATGAGATTAAACGTTTAGGAAAAAGATTTCGTAAACTTGATCTTGATAATTCTGGTTCTCTAAGTGTTGAAGAATTTATGACGTTACCGGAACTACAACAGAATCCACTAGTTCAGAGAGTAATAGATATTTTTGATACAGACGGTAATGGTGAAGTAGATTTTAAAGGTTTGTACCGTTTCATTTTGATTATTGGGTCTATTTTGCTGGGGAGCCACAATGGCTAAGTGGGTAAGATGCTGGGAGTCACGGTGGCTAGGTGGTTAAGACGTTGGCTCGCTAGCTTGGAGGTTGGGTGTTCGATCCCTGCATTGGCCGAGAAAGTTCATCGGGATTTTAGGATGTGCTTGTGAGAGAGACTAATATAACCAAGACTATAATACTATCCCTTTGAAAACTCTCCTGCATTGGCCGAGAAAGTTCATCAGGATTTTCCAATGTAGTTTCCCCTTGTCATTGGTGCAGGACAAGAGGGCCTGACAAGGACAGCTGTCTAGTCTTTCGGATGAGACAAAAAACCTAGGTCCCGTGTACACATTGATGTGCACATAAAAGATCCCTTGGCAGTTGGAATTTGATATGAGAGTAGGTCATGGTACTGCTGCCCGGGCAAAATTTCCCACATAGCACACTGTATGGCGTATGGCCATCTTCATTAGCCCAGTTGGAGCAGAACAGTAAGACTTTAAACTAAACCCCATTTCGTTTCACTTTCATTTCATTTCCATTTTGCTGCAGGCCTTGCAGAGTGAGGTTACTGACGGAATGCCTACGTCATATGGCTCTCCTACAAGTCAGTGGGGTCTACTCAATCCAGCGGCTCTCCCGAATTTAGCAGCGGTCAGAGCTCTCTTGATTTTTTCCCTTGGGTTTCGACTTTCAATTATCTAATTGGTCAAATATGACGTAATTTATTATAATGAATGGTTACTAAGCCAAATGATGCAAAAGTAATTTTCCACCACAAGTGATCTGTTTTTCACACAGAACCAGTTATGTTTTCATTTTATAAATCTTTTTATGTGTCAATCCATCACTCATTTATTTGAGTGCGTGAGATACATGTATGACTCTATACAAAGTATGAATCTAATAATTAAAGATACAATATGTTCGCAAAGACCATATGCTCACACAAAACAAGGATCATCTTCATGAAAATAGAGCTGCCAGCATATTTGAATAGTCCACGGCTTACATGTATAAGCTTTTCAAAAATGCAATTCTTTTTAAATTTGTCGTATCCTCTGGGGTTTGGCTCATTCACAGCAACGAGAAGGCTTTTGTGCCAGTACTACAAAATGAAGTTGTGCGACAAGTACCTGGTTTCATATAGTACTACATTTTGTACTTTGTCAAATCGCGGTTGTCCTACCAAAAGGCATATGCTGCAGTGTCCTTTCTGAAATTTACAAATTGTTAAAAGATTGTATTATTTTTTTATTTCAGAATTTATAGAAGGCATATCTCAATTTAGTGTAAAAGGTGACAAAGAATCCAAATTAAGATGTAAGTTATCTGCTTATTAAAGATACATTATGTACGATTTAGATAAAGAGCTGACCATTCTTGCTATAATAGTTCAAAAGTAGATGATGTAAAACTAATAATTTGAAAATTTCATTCAAATTACTCTATTGCAAGCGAAGATATTAGCCTTTGAAGGTTTGACAATAATTTCAACCACGTGTGCAATAATTTCAACCACCGTACTGGTTCATCAAAGCTAAGTCTCGGTCCTCCATATTTGATTAAATCAAAGTATCGCTGAACCATTCTAATCTATTTAATATCAGAGAAATCCAATACCATCGAGAGTTGATTAAGGCCTGGATCAGTTAATTAATGTCTAATTAATAATTTAGATAACATTTCAGGCATAATGAAAGACCAGCAATAGGCAGATTTAGCTCTTGCATAATGCATGTTTAAGATTAAATCTCTTGTTTCCATTATGTATATTCCTGGCAGTGATCTTGACCGTTTTATTAGTAAGTGCACGAGGACCGTACTATAGAGAGGGAGAGAGAAATGGGGTTTAACGTCCACTCGACACAAACTAGGTCATTTCAGGACAAACATATAGGTTCAGTTTTATTTCAATAATTTGCTTGAGCATAGGTGTCTTTAGCAGTGGCAGGAAACCGAAGGACCCAGAGAAAACTCAAGAGTTTGGACAGGCGACTGTCTTTTATCGAACCCAAAATTCAATCGCTAAATATTCGGTTGGTTGTGAATCAATTTGACTGAAATTTTCAGCAAATTGCCTTTACATTATCTAGTTTTTAACTATTATAGTGAGAACTACCAGCTCTTTATCTGATCTCCCATAATGTATCTTTAATGGCTGAAGTAATATATTATTACATTTAATAAATCTTTTATTTATTTTTTAATGTAGTTGTGTTTAAGATCTATGAAATGTATGTTTAAATCTTTCTCATTTTCTTTTATTTATTTTTTATTGTAGTTGCGTTTAAAATCTATGAAATCTGTGGTTAAATCTTTCTAATTTTCTTATATTTATTTTTTATTGTTGTTGCGTTTAAGATCTATGAAATGTATGTTTATCTATTTTTTATTGTAGTTGCATTTAAGATCTATGATATGGATAAGGACGGGTACATATCGAATGGTGAATTGTTCCAGGTGCTAAAAATGATGGTAGGAAATAATTTGAAAGATACACAGTTACAACAAATCGTGGATAAAACCATTATACACGCTGATACAGATGGCGACGGAAAAATATCTTTTGAAGAATTCTGTTCTGTAAGTTCATAAATATTTTATCTGTCGTCGGTTTTGCTCTGGGTTTGATTAACCAATCAGCATTGATGTTTCTAGTGGGTTACCCACAGTTCCATGCACCTCACACCAAAAATCCGCCATAACAGACCGTTTCATTGGCTAATCCATCACATCATCCAGAACGTGGGTTATATAACAACTCTTCCAGATCCTAGTGTAGTAAAGACAAGTATAATGAAATTTTGAACTATAAAAAAAAGAAATGAAATAGGATCTGTGTTTTAATCAGATTGGGTTGTTGGGCTACACTAGAGCTGAAAGTGAGGGTTGAGTGTCTGAATGATCTAACGCGGGACTTCTGATTTTAAATGGAATGACTTAGATCACAACCTTGTATATGACGAGGAGTAGGGTTGCCGTCACAAGATTACTAATTTTCTCTGGATCCAGTTTCCTCCCACTGTTAATGACCCCAAGTGACATTTTGAAGAATTTTGTTCCTTAGAGAGGTCCAGTGTACAGTGTACGATTGGCGTGTATGTAAAATAAATCCCTTTGCAGTTGGACTTCGATATAAAAGTAGGCCGTACTGCCGCTGTCCTGGCAAAATGTCCCTTATAGCACAGTGTATGGCGTATGCCCGTCTTCATTAACCCAGTCGGAGCCCGTCTTCATTAACCCAGTCGGAGCAGAACAGTAGGGCGTTAAACCCTGTTTAATTTCATTTTGTTTTGTTTCAGGTTGTTGGCACTATGGATGTTCACAAGAAAATGGTTGTAGATGTATAAATAGAATTACATTTGTTATTTCATTTTTATTGTTTTTCTTCCCCCCTCCCATGACAGCTTTCTCCCTTTTCAAGATGTTTCAATTCATACATTTTCAAGTTCTTACTATTACCACATGTGTCTCTTTATACTATTATCTTATCATACACTCAATAGCTAAACAATGACTTTCTCTCGTATTTACAAACAATAATAACAAAGGTTAGAGCTCAATAACCGTAACACATGGTTAGAGCTCAAAAACCGTAACACATGGTTAGAGCTCAATAACAGTAACACATGGTTAGAGCTCAATAACCATAACACATGGTTAGAGCTCAATTATCATAAGATTAAGAGCAAGGTGAAAACACTGTAATCAAAAACATGGTTAGAGCTCAATAACCATGATAATAAGGTTAGAGAACAAAAGTTAGAACTCAAGAACACGGTTAGAGCTCTAAAAACATAAAATTAAGGTTAGAAACTGAGCTAGAGCTAAAAAAAAAAAAAAAAAAAACATGGTTAGATCTCTATAAACATAAAAACAAGGTTAGAGTTCTGCCACCATAAGAACCAAGTTAGAGCTCTGTGACCCTAAAAAGACGGTTAGAATAACCATAAAACCAGGTTAGAGCTCAATAACCATCAAAATAAGCTAAGAACTCGATTACCATAAATCATGGTTAGAACTCAGTTGACTGATTGCAAACATCTATAAAACAAAGACGGGAGGCTTGAATAATATTTGTTCATTGTTGTTATTGTGGTGTTACGAAAGAGATTTCGTCTTAATTAGTTGAGTTGGAGCAGAACAGTAGGACGTTAAACTACATTTCATTTCATGACGTTATGAAAGAGTTATTTAAAATACTTGACAATATTAAGCTTTGTTACTGTGGTCTGTTACGAAAAATAGAGTTATCTGAAATAACTTGACAATATCAAGCTTTGTTATTGTGGTCTGTTACGAAAGAGAGGATTATCTGAAATACTTGACAATATCAAGCTTTGTTACTGTGGTCTGTTATGAAAGAGTTATCTGAAATAATTAGAGGATATTAAGGTTTGTTATTGTGGTCTGTTTATGCAAGAGAAAGTTATCTTTAGCCATTAAGTTCATATAGGATAAAACCACACACTAAATGTTAATATATCTGTTATTTCCTATCTATAATTCATAATATATCATTATCATATATAGCATCATCTGTATATCTTAGGTTTTCATATTATATTATATTATATGGTATTTTGACTTTAAGACAATACCGTATATGGTATTTTGACTTCAAAACTGTACCATATATGGTACATGGTTTTTGACTTTAAAACAGTACCATATATGGTATTGGGACTTCCATCCTGTACCTTATATGGTATTTTGACTTCAAAACTGTACCATATATGGTATTATCACTTTAAAACTGGACAGTTCATTAATTTCTTTAAAATTGTTACTATTTTCGTTTTATGAATGATTTTTATTATCTGAGATCTGTATGTAGAATGTCTCTTTAAATTGCAACAGTACCTCATATGAGTTTAGGCATAGGCATAGACATAAATGGAATGTCTCTTTAAGATACTGTACCTCATATGGATTGGGCATGGACATAGCAGCTTTGATTTCCTGTATTTGTATGTTAATTCAGTTATAGTGTTATAGCTACAGAAATTAAATTACTATTTGAATTCAATACTGGAATTAAATAACTATTTGAATTCGGATATGGCTACTGGAATTATTTGAATTGAGTTTAGATATTGCTACTGGAATTGCTATTTCAATAAAGTTTAGATATTTCTACTGGAATTAAATGATTATTTGAATTCAGTATTGAAATTAATTAACTATTTGAATTCAGATATAGCTGCTGTAATTAAATAACTATTTGAATTCAGCATTGAAATTAATTAACTATTTGAATTCAGCATTGAAATTAATTAACTATTTGAATTCAGGTATAGCTACTGTAATTAAATAACTATTTGAATTCAGCATTTGAATTCAGCATTGAAATTAATTAACTATTTGAATTCAGGTATAGCTACTGTAATTAAATAACTATTTGAATTCAGCATTGAAATTAATTAACTATTTGAATTCAGCATTGAAATTAATTAACTATTTGAATTCAGATATAGCTACTGTAATTAAATAACTATTTGAATTGAGTATTGAAATTAATTAACTATTTGAATTCAGTTCACATAAGGTTACTTGAATTAAATAACTATTTGAATTCAGTATTGAAATTCAGATAAGGTTACTTGAATTAAATAACTATTTGAATTCAGTATTGAAATTCAGATAAGGTTACTTGAATTAATTAACTATTTGAATTTAGTTCAGATCCTATAATAATAATATATAATATTTTTATTATTTTGAAATTTATAAAGAAATTATTTTTATGTGACTAGAATTATTCATGATCTGTTTGTGAATGAATCTCGCTGTGTTCAAGATCTTTCTTCTTCAGTTATCATATCCGTTTTATCATCAATTAACTAAATTTATTTCTCTTTTCACTCTTATTTATTGTTCTCGTGATTCTCAAGTCAGATTTTGAATTTTAAAAAAAAAAGACAAATTTTTGGGTGCCACATTTGTCGCTCTTCTGGCGAACCGACGAATCTGATATATTTAAGTATTGAGAATTCTGTGTTTGAAATTTGCGTTCTGTTGTTATATCTGTGGACATCAAATAATAACATTCATTTGTGATTTAATATTTCATACATATACATCAGGAGGCCAAACGGCATTTACATAAATGTTTTTATTTGATGGCTACAGAGATATCAACAATGTATCAGATTCGTCAGTTCACCAGAAATGCGACAATATGTCCTTGTTGAATAAAACAAAAATGATGCTGATCCAAAACCATTGCTCATGTTTAGTGTTATTGAATGAGCATTCGTAAACTTCGTAAATTCCTTGAAATAAACACAATTAGCAAATACAAGCTATGGCCTTAAAAGTGCTATTGTTACCAGTTAATGGAACAGAAATTTGAATTAGAAAAAGGATCATCGATTTATTTAGTATTTATCACTACTTAAATCCTATGTATTATTAAAATTGACAGAAAAAAAAAAGAATAAAAAATTTAAGGAACCCAGAGATTTTGGAATGGACAATGGGTTATCAAGAATTCAAATCTTGAAGTCATTTTCTTAACCTATAAAAACCTCACAAAGAAAACTAACTAAAGAGGTTTACTTTGATAATTTTACAATATGGACAAGCTGTACTTGAGTTAATCTTGTGGAATAATATATAACACATTATGAATTTACGACCCTCAGGTTTTTAAAAAGATCAGAAAAATCAAAAAAATTCCAAATACATTTTCTGATGATTTCACTGAACAACATGATACATTAGATAATTAGTGTGAATTCTTGAATACTCTTCTTTAGTGGTCGCTAGTATATTCATCCTCACAAACCAAGGCTGGTCAATACTTAAACATACATTATGCAAGAGCTAAATCTAACAATTGCAGGTCTTTCTTTAGGCCTGAAATGTGATCTAAATTATTAATTAGACATTAATTAACTTATCCAGACCATAATCAACTCTTGATGTCATCGCTAGCCTGTGATGTTTACTGGATTAGAACCCAGTCTGCTGCAGCTGGTTAAATCAAAAGGTGGATAATCGAGACTATGTATTTTTATCATACTGACTTTAGTAATAATGATCGAGGCTAGGTCGAAAATTCAATCGCTAAAATCTTGGTTCAGAGTTGATCAATTTGACAGAAATTTTCAACATATTCTCTTTACGTTATCTATTCTTTAACTATTATAGCGAGAACTGCCAACTCTTTATCTAATCTCCCATAATGCCCCTTTAAAATGTTGCTTCCTTTTTGTATGCTCGCATGGAAATGTGGTCGTATATAGCCGTCGTTCCCTTCCGTCCATCCTCTACAATTGCTTGGGACAGAACAAAAATGTCCCAACAAAAATCGAATGAATTGTCCCCGAGCTCCGATATAAGTTTTGAACAGCCATAGTTTTGTGAGGGTTTTGGTTTAGTCGACTCCCTATTTTCTTCAGGGTAATAAATGCTTTTTATGATTCAACGCCCATAAATTTTCCGACCTTTTACTTAAAAATTAAATTTCAAACTCAAATTATAGGTAATAAAATATGTTAATAATATTTTCCAAAAGTTCCAAACAGCATTTTTTAGATATTTCTTATTTATATAACAGTCAATTTAAAAAATACTATGATAAGTTTCAGCATATTTTTTTTTTATATGTTCAGAAAGATTCACTTTTCAAAATATGATGTAATAGATACATTGAAATAATTTTCAATAATACTATAAGTTTCAGCATTTTTTTTTTTCATTTCATTTAAGAAAGATCCGCTTATGAAAATACAAGTTAATTTTTAAAAAAAGAAAAGTTGAAATAATTTTAGTTTTATGTCCGTAAAAAATAACTTTGAAGTGAGGAGGTTGTGGTCTATTTCCTCTTGATTTCGTATCATTCCACATGGCATGTATAATTCTGTATTTATTCTCTTCGTTAAATCTGGCCTCTTGTTTTACCCTATTTTTTTATATTTGCAGTATTTGAATTTCCCAGGCCTCCGGTTCACAACACATTCCCAGATTTAAGTTAAGAATTTACTCAACTTTTAATCACTGTTTATGAGAAATATCTTTGATGAAGAAACACAAAACTTTTGCACATAGTTTTTTATTGATGTATTTGATACATTAAAACAACAAAAGTTTTATAAAGGACTACATTTTAGTTAAAATAAGGCAAACAATTTTGCGTAAATTCTTAACTCAAGTCTGAGAATGCTTTGTGAACTTGGGGACAGAACTTGGATACAGAAACGAACGGATATATCTGTATTTGATAGAGTAGATATTTTATACTATTAATATTAATGAATGAATTAAACAAGAGAGCTAGAATATATCTTTTTATTATATTATGATTATCATCAATTATCTATTATAGTCGATATAAATATGGCATAGTTTGTAGTCTTGGTTTACTAGATGTTTTGATATCCAAATATACCAAATATGTCTGGATAGATGTGACTGCATAATTTGTAATCTTGGTCTAACAGGTCTTTTGATAACCACTATTATTAATGATTTCTGGATAGATCAAACTGCATAATATATAGTCTTCGTCTAACACGTCTTTTGATAAATGCTATTATTAATGATTTCTGGATAGATCAGACTACATAATTTGTAGTCTTGGTCTATCGGATGTTTTTGATATACATTAGTGTCATACTAAAGATGTCTGGTTACATGAGACTGCATAAATTTGTAGTCTTGGTCTAACAATAACCATTATTATTAATGTCTGGTTTGATTGAGACTAGGTAGTTTGTTATTTCAAAATCTAGTCCTACTAGTGTTGGTTCTATAAATAATATATATTTTTTTTTTATCCGATCTTTGTGAATGACGTTTTCTGTGTTAAATAACAGTTCTATGTATTTTTATTACATGTTAGTTGTATATCATATATTATTATTATTATTATTATTATTATCAATAACCCTTACCCTAACCCCTGCTATTTCTCGTGTTCTACAGTTAAACAAATGAAGACAACTAATTTTAGGGCCATTTAGGACAGGTCAAATGGGGCTCAAAGGTTTAAGGATGGGCTCCAAATTGTTATTATTATTATCATCTACAACCCTTACCCTAACCCCCTGCTATTTCTCGTGTTCTACAGTTAAACAAATTTTTAGGGCTTTTAGGACAGGTCAGATGGGGCTCAAAGGTTTAAGGATGGGCTCCCACTTGTTATTGATATCTATATGGCCCTAACCCTTTCTATTTCTCGTGTGCTACAGTTAAATATTATGTACTGCAAAACAAATGAAGACAACTACTAATTTTAGGGCCATTTTTGAGGGGGCAAATAGGGCTCAAAGGTTTATTATGTACTTCAAACGAATGAAGACAATTAATTTAAGGGTCATTTAAGACGAGGCAAATGTGACTGAAATGTTTAAAATCCTCCCCCTCCCCAATCCAAAGGACTTAATAAATTCGAAAATTGATCGAAGGTAGTCAATTTTCCCCATTTCTGATTGATTCTAAGATACAAATATTGCTTCTTGTGGCATCCTGCAAACGAGAACGCTTTTAGGTCTTGGAAGGCCAAGCTGTATATATTGCACCGACCTGCTGAAATAAATGATAGAAAGATGTAAACACCCTGAATTAAATGTTAACACGGACAGGAAAGAAGCAAAAACTGGGGTAAAGAAAAAAAACATAAAACAAATATATAAAACCCCAGATTTTAATAGTAAGGACATGGCATAATACAAGTAACCCATACCATAAAATATCTCCATTATCTTCGGCCCAGTTTGTCCATTGAAAGATTGGCATTAATTACATTTATTGCCATATACCTAATCCATCGCTTAAAATATGCCAATTGTCTCAAGCCCTATTTGCCCCTTAAAAGATGTATAATCCATCGCCTAAAATATGTCATTATTCTGGACCCTGTTACCTCCTAAAATTAATAACATTTATTGGCGTATGTATAACCCATCACATAAAATATGCCCATTATCTTGAACCCTATTTGACCCTTAAAAGATGCGTAACCCATCGCTTAAAATATGTCATTATCCTGGGCCCTGTTTACCTACAGTCATTCAGAATGGATATTACACTATCTCATACTTAGTAAACATGTCAAGCTGATCAAAACACAGATCTTATTCCGTTTCGTTTTTTATAGTTCAAAATTTCGTTTTATTGTTCTTCACAACACTAGGATCTAGAAGAGTTGTTATATAACCTGCATTTTGGTTGTTACAGCCAGTTCTTGGCCTACTGTGCACCGGACTGTGAGTAAACCACTAGAAAAGTCAACACTGGTTGGTTAATCAAATGTCTGACGTCATACGGTCAAAGGCCGCTTGTATGACCCCACTACAACCAGTCAGCAACCAGTCAGATCTTCATACAGTGTAGGCCATCGAAAGTATAAAAAATCGAAACGAAATATAGATCTATATTTTAACCAGATTGTAGGAATACACCATGTCAACTCTGCTACCATATCATATTTTTTTACTTTTTTTTACATCTGCATGTGTTTTATTAAATATTGAATATTATTTTTTTCGTATTATTAGCAGTGGTACGATTTGTACTTCTCCCAAAAAAAAATGTTAAGGTGTACAATTTCCTCAAAATTAATTTTAATCCAAAAGTCATAATCGATTCTTATTATAAGCATGATATTTATAATATACTCAGTGGTTGCTATGGTAATCTGTGACACTGCTGTTTATTTCTATCAATGATAATACATCGACTTGATCACCAACTCGTTACGGAATTGAGAGGAAAATTTGGGGTCGCTTAAATCTTAAAGGTGATTTGTCTGCAATATTTTAGCCACATTGAATAATTTAACTTTCTGTGACGTTTTTCTCTAAAGTAAGGTACCAGGATGGATTAAGCCGTAAGATATTTCATATTTGAGCGATAATGAAAATGATGATGATGAATCAAGCCGTTAAGTATTTGCGAGATGTTTGTTACCTGTGATAGCAAAATAAGTTAGAGGTCTCTTGCAAAATGAACAGGAGTATTAAACAATGACATGTGACCTCCGACTCATTTTAGCGTGGTATCAAGTCTATGTTTTATTTTGGTTTAAAACACTTATTATTACAGAAAGCTGTTGTATGTTGTTTGGTGTTTTCTTGTTAATATAAATACACGTTGTTGTTTCCCATTTTATATAAATAACGTAACATATATGTGGTCATAATTCTGTGCATAGTTTTAAAATAACATTATAAAAAGCATATAAATGTTGTAGTTTGGTTTCGTTTTTTGATGAAAATTATTTCCCAGCATTTTATCTGCTCAATTAAATGTGATATACAACACTTCTCTCGAATTTTAATTAAAGATAATTAATTAATTAATGTTCTATTATTAATTAACCGGGCACTTGCTTCTTCTAGCTGACCATTTCATTATGTTGCACCATGAAATTTTTGGATCAGGAACCAGTCCGAGATCACTACACTTCTTGTTGTTATTTAAGTGGTCAGGGGTGGGGGGGGGCACTCTTCGCAAAAAGTCTAGGCTTGTCCAATTCATGTACAATTGTTTGCTTGTTTTTTGGACAATTGCGTATTGATTATCTGAATTTGATTTTTGATATGACGTTACAATTCTAAGATAGCGGCAATGACATCGGGGTTCAGTTCCTGGTCCATGGAGTACTATCTGGATATTGTTAAATGATTAGTTCTCTTTGATGTCGGAAAAACTTGTCTCATCACCAATGGAAACATGAAAGTTAAAAAAGTGTAGCTCGTGGAATTCTTTGTAAATAGGAACTGTGAAAACCTTAAAATGTTATTTCTTCCATTTGAAATCTGTTAAAACATAATTCAAATCTTTGTAGATTGATCATTTCAGTACTGTATATTCAATCTCGCAAATTTTTACAGCTTTCGTCAAAGCATAAGTTTAAATACTCCGTAATCAAATCGTCATGATGTGAAGTTCTACATCTAGACAAACTTTCAATATGTCCTGCCAAGTTTTTCCTGGTGTAATGTAACAAGTTCATAAGTTTTTCTAGCATAATGTGGTAAAAACCAGTAAATAAAATAATTTTATTCTTTTTGTTAAGCGTTCATTCTAGTACATAATGTTACAGTGTGTATTTATTTTAAATATTAGAAAATATAAGAATATTTATATATGTGTTTCTCGCCTCTCACTTCTTCAGTTTTGTGGGATTTTCAGTAAGGCAGTATGTATTTAATAGATAGTTCAGTAATTTTCCTTTTAAGCTGTGGTCAAAGGGGAGATAATAGAAACTGGTGCAGTAGTTATCTCCCCTTAGATGTTAAAGTGGAGATCACTTGGCAGACCTCGGCAGATTCCGTTACTCTACATCTAGCCTCGGCTGTATGACGTTAAGTGATATGTACTTACACCTATACAATTGTGATGCGGCACCAGTTTACTTATTAGGAAAACTTGCCACTTTTATTTGTATGATAAAACATTCTTTGAAAGGCATCATCATGGGCAACGCCGTTGGTAATCCAGGAACTTGAAAGTAGTTCCAATGGCGGACTACATCATACAGAAGAGGCTAGATGTAGGGTACTGAAATCTGCTGAGGTTTGCCGAGTGACTGGAGATAATATAAACTTGAATAGTGGTTACATTCATGTGGACACCAAAGGGGAGATAATATAAACAGGAGCTATGGTTACCTCCCTTGGATATCAAAGGGGAGATAATATTAACAGGAGCAGTAGTTACCTCCCCTTAGACCTTTTTATATATTATCCAATTTGTTTCATTCGATGTGGAAATGTACGACTATATATTTCTATGATAAATACTCATGGTTGGTGAACAGTTAAGATCATGTGATTAAATGAATTATGTTTATTTTTAAAACTAAATATATTCGTTAAGTTAGGGTAATTGTGAGTCAAAAGGGCTGCCGTAAAAATCAAAGTTAAATTTGTCTATTTACATTAGCACTGCCTGTTTAAGAGCCAGTTAAAAGTGAAACAATAATTACATGAGCTATTGGTATTTTTTTTATTTTTTTTTATTAAATTGTCTTTCCATGTAACCATGTATATTGAAATATTTGTTTAAATGAGAAAAATGGCGAATTACCTGCCCCTGCTCAGAACACCTGTCAGTGGGCTTAATCTTTTTGTTAAGGCCAGCTCAATTTTTGTCAAGGTCGCTGAGATGTAAACAAGATTAGAGCACGTGATTGTTGGCATGATTGTTGGTTAGGGTAAACATTGGGGCTAGGTCCAGGGTTAGGGTTGGGATTAGCGCTAGCCCTGTTTAAATCTCTTGACCCGTGACGAAAAATTGAGCTGGCCTTATCATTTAGCACTAACCCCCTGTCAGCACCAGCCCCCAACACCAGACAGCACTAGCCATGACTTCGTAGTGTAGCCTATCGTGACAAATTTCATCATAATTAGCTGCGAAATGATTTTGACCTGTGATAACTAGTGGTCACAACAAATGTTGATATACTATTCGAATTTAAATGCTATTTGAATATTCTATTCTATTGAAATTATCCATTTTTGGATTGCTCCTGGGTGCATTTCCAGATTTCTAGAATAAATCTGTACAAATTAATTTCTTTTCCTTTATCTGTTTGAATATTAATAAATTTCACTGAATTAACATTCAAAAATATTACATAGAAGAAAAAACAACAAAAAAGATCAAATTTCCATTATTTTTGATAGACATTGAATAACAAATACCAAAATAAAAATCAGTTTAATAACAAATACCAAAATAAAAATCAGTTTGAATAACAAATACCAAAATAAAAATCAGTTTGAATAAGCGTAAAATAAATATCTGAATTCAAATCTTGAATATTGGTATGAGCACTAGTGACGACAAAACCTAACGTGTGGATTGCACAAATAAATTGACGAAAAACAAGGTTATTGTCATGGTGCATAAATAAATAAATACACCTCAGTTATTCCAGTACAAAGGGCAGGTAACTCGTTCATTTCTCCTAATGGCTAAAAATGGTCATTTTAATGTGATGTAAGTTTGTTTTGTTTTTTTCATTTTTTTTCCCCCGCGGTAAATTTGATATAGTGTGAGAATTCTTATAGACGTGTTTTGTTATATAAGTGTTTTTATTCAAAAAAATTTTTTTTTTTCAATTTCAATTGTCACAATATACCCATTTCCACTATTGAAACACATTTTCATTTTAAACAAAAAAAGCCATTGCTAAAATTTTCTTCGAAATAAATTTTTCACGAATTACATGTTGTTCAATTATTTTGATGGAAAATGAAATGAAATGGGGTATCAAAGTTCTATTATTTTATGCCGGGGTGGCGGGGGGGGGGGGTTGGATGGCTGAATGGTTAGCGTGCGCGCGCTGTATCATGAAGTCTGTCATTGAGTCGACTGGCGTGGTTTCTAATCCCCGGTTGTACGTGACAAGGAGTAGGGTCGCCTGTCCAACCTCATGGGTTTTCTCCGGGTCCTCCGGTTTCCTCCCACTGCTAAAGACCCCTACGCGCAAGCGAATTATTGAAATAAAAATTTTAAAAAAACCATGTTAGTCCCGAAATGACCTAGTTTGTGTCGAGTGGACGTTAAATCCCATTTCTCTCTCTCTCTCTTTTATGCCGGGGGGAGTTGGATAGTCGAATGGTTAGCGCATACATGTTGTATCATAAAGTCTGTCATTGAGTTAACTGGCGTGGTTTTGATTCCCCGGTTGTACTTGTCAGGGAATAGGGTCGCCTGTCCTCCGGTTTCCTCCCACTGCTAAAGACCCCTATGGGCAAGCAAATTATTGAAATATAATTAACCATATGTTAGTAGTCCCGAAATGACCTAGTTTCTGTTGAGTGGACGTTAACCTCTCTCTCTCTTTCTCTATTTTATGCATCAACCTGTTTAATGAACACCAGGTGGTCGAATGGTTTAACACATGCACTTTAGATCATCAGGTCTGTCATTGAGTCCGTGGGGGGTGGATGTCCGAATGGTTAGCACGCGTGCGCTGTATCATACGGTCTGTCATTGAGTCAACTGGCGGGGTTTCGATTCCCCGGTTGTACGTCCAACCTCGTGGGTTTTCTCCGGTTTCCTCCCATTGCTAAAGACCCCTACGTGCAAGCAAATTATTGAAATAAAAAAAAATTAAACCATATGTTAGTCCCGAAATGACCTGGTTTGTGTCGAGTGGACGTTAAACCCCATTTCTCTCTCTCTCTCTCTCTGTCATCGAGTCAAGTGACATGGTTTTGATTCCCCGTTTGTGCGTGATAAACAATATGGTTTTTTGTCAAAGGATGTTACACCCCATTTCTCTCTCTCTAATGAAGACCAGCATACTTCACAAACAGTGGTGGATGTAGAAGATTTGGTATTTCTCTTCAGACATTTCAAGGCTTCAGCCAACACAAATTGCAAAAAAAATGATTCCACCGGCATTCATTCAGGAAGCAGGAACGACCCCCTAAATACCATATTAAAGCCATAAGGAATCTCATTAGGGGAAGTGGGTCAAATATGCTAATTAGTAACCACCAAATAAAGGCAAACAATTGTTTTTTGTCATGGCATCTTCCAAAAAATGATATGTTATCACTATCAGTATCCAGGAAATCAAAGAAACTATTATTAACAAGAAAAAATATGTAGCATCATGGGTAATATATATGCTATTAGTCTACGTTTTGTTATGGAATTGTGGGAGCTATGATGGTTCAGTGAGTACGACGTTGGCTCGCTAACCTGGAGGCCCCATGTTCGATCCCTGTGTTGACCAGAAAAGTTCATCAGGATTTTCCGGCATGATTTCCCTGGCAAGGGACAATGTATAATTGTTTAGATGGGAAGAAAAAATGAGGTCTGGTGTACTTATTGGTATGCATGGAAAGGACCCTTGACAGATGGAATTCAATATAAGAGTAGGCCGTAGTGCTGCTGTTTGAGCAAAACTCCCCCATAGCACACTGTATGTTGTATGTCCGTCTTCGTTTGCCCAGTCGGTGCAGAAAAGTAGGATGTTGAACCTCATTTTATTTACTGAATTGGTTTGAAACTCTTTTTAGCTGCATCTAAGGGGAAATCATTCTGCTAAGACAATTCAGGGTCGAGGAGAGAGAGAGAGAGATGGGGTTTACCATCTACTCAACACAAACCAGGTCAATTCGGGACTAACATAGGGTTGAACTTTATTTCAATAATTCGCTTGCATGTAGGGGTCTTTAGCAGTGGGAGGAAACCGGAGGACCCAGAGAAAACCCATATGGTTGGACAGGCAACCCTACACCTGGTCATGTACTACCGGGGAATCAAAACCACACCAGCTGACTCAATGACAGACCCTATAATTCAACGTGTAGCCCCTCACCATTCGGCCATCCAACCCAATCTGTTTCACAGAGATCTTCTAATATCTCTGTAACAGATGACTGTTTCGACACGTGACGTCACATCACACGGCGTCAATCATTGGCTCAATAGCGTGTGCATTGTTTACATAAGACGTTACTGATTCGGGCTAAATGGTGAATTTTACTTATTTTAAAACCCATTTACACTAAATAGGAAATGATGTTTACCTACAAATAATTCAAACGTCTTTACTTATTTTTCTAATAAATGAAAAAAATGTTTTAGAATTTAATTTGACGGAAGAAAAAGTTAATATTTGGGACTCATTAAGTCGCATCGATGTCATCCTTATCAGTGATTGTAGAGGCCTAGCGAAAATTCATTGCTGATCAGTGTGCATCCCACCCCCCAGGGTTGAGGAAACCAAGTAATTATATTATGATGACAATATAAAGATTGTATAATGGAAACTGCCCATTAACATTATATACCATGAAATTGTTGTGGAAACAACACCCACCTGCAGCAACAGAGTTAAAAACAACATTTGTCATCCTTTTGTAATTTATATCACATTCAAATATAACAGTCATACAAATCTGTACAAAACATCTTAATACATATACAACTTGATATAAAACATATTGATACATGTGGTAATCTGTCTAAATCCTAACATTCCATCATATGTGTAATCTGTCAATCCTAACATTCCATCATATGTGTAATCTGTCAATCCTAACATTATATCACTTGTGCAATCTATCATACCATCACATGTGTAATCTATCAAATCCTAACATTCCATCACATGTGCAATCTATCAATCCTAACATTCTATCATATGTGTAATCTGCCAATCCTAACATTCCATCACATGTGTAATCTGTCTAAATCTTAACATTCCATCACATGTGTAATCTATCAATCCTAACATTCCACCACATGTGTAATCTGTCAATCCTAACATTCCACCACATGTGTAATCTATCAATACTTTCATTCCATATGTGTAATCTATCAATACTTTCATTCCATCATATGTGTAATCTGTCTAAATCCTAACATTCCATCATATGTGTAATCTGTCAATCCTAACATTCCACCACATGTGTAATCTGTCAATCCTAACATTCCACCACATGAGTAATCTATCAATACTTTCATTCCATCATATGTGTAACCTATCAATACTTTCATTCCATCATATGTGTAATCTGTCTAAATCCTAACATTCCATCACATGTGTAATCTGTCAATCCTAACATTCCGCCACATGTGTAATCTGTCAATGCAATACCAACTTAAACGTTTTTAAATACAGGCAACCATCACACATAATGTCGGGCACAAATTCAGACTTTGTCTAGTACAATCTCATTACGTTCCGCACAAATTTGTCTTGTCTTTAGTTTTTTTACTGATATTTTTAACACATGTCCGCCACATAGTTCAAAATGTCAGGTCCAACTTCATTAATGCCCGACATTTTGTCCGGCAGAACAAAAATTGTTATTTCCAGGTCTACATTTATTATCACAGATTCTTCAGACTTTTTCCAGATTGTCAGGATTCGAGAATCGCACTGTCAATATATAAAAAATGGCCGGGAATGGAACAAGTGCGATCAATGTAGCGTGAAATGATGGATCTTCCAGCCTCGTTATCGATATCACGCCATAAGCATGAAGAATCCAGTGACCAACTAATATCGTAGCATTTCTTCCATTTGTAAAACTATTGATGAACAGACTCTTCATATTCTGAATAAACAAAAAAATAATATTATGTTTTGATCATATTTTCATTTTGTTTTCTAAAAGAAATGAAATGAAATAAATGGGTTTTAATGTTCTACTGTTCTGTTTCAACTGGGCTAATGAAGACAGGCATACACCATACAGTGTGCTATGAGGGAAATTTTTCCCGGACAGCGGCACTACAGCCTACTCTTATATCGAATTCCAACTGCCAAGGGATCTTTTACATGCACACCAATGTATACACGAGACCTCAGTTTTTCGTACCATCTGAAGGACTTGACAGCTGTCCTTGTCAGGCCCTCAGTCCTGCACCACTGACAAGGGGAAACCATGCCGGAAAATCCTGATGAACTTTCTTGGCCAAAACTGGGAGCAAACCTGCGAACTCCAAACTATCGAACCAGTAATCTGATTAAAATACAGATCTATATTTCGTTTCGTTTTTTTTATACTTTCGATGGCCTCTACTGCATGAAGATCTGACCAGTTATAGTGGGAGCTCGCACCAGCGGTCATACGAGGGTCCAAGATAATGATATATTTTATGTGATGGGTTATACATATGCCAATAAATGTTATTAATTTTAGCGTTTAAACGGAGCCCAGGATAATGATATATTTTGAACTATAAAAAAACGAAATGAAATTTTGAACTATAAAAAACGAAACGAAATAGGATCTGCGTTTTAATCAGATTGTCGAACCAGCATTTTTCTCACTTAGCTACCGTGGCTCCCTCCAAGAACAAGGGGAACAACAAGATGAGTATATTTACCTGTTCATCCATACATGATAAATGTATAGCGCTCGTTATCACAGATACAACTAATACAATAAATGGAAACGCATAATCTGAAAAGAGAGAGAGAAATGGGGTTTAACGTCCACTTGACACAAACTTGGTGATTTCAAGAATAACATATGGTTCAATTTTAATAATTCTCTTTTACTTAGGCGTCTTTAGCTGTGGGAGGAAATAATGTATGCTACAGAAACAAAATGGTTATCCAGCATCATTATGACTATCAAAAACATTTATCACGGTTTTGTATTTGATATCTAAGTCTACGGTACCATTCAGGTTAGTTCATGTAACCAACGGAAATAGGAACCGCCGGCAATTAATGAGACTTATTTCTTAACCCATTAGTACTTAGACTACAACAAACTGCCCTAACTAGGGCTCCTTAGACCACCCTGAGCTGCACACAACTGCAGTGCCCGCCAGAACCGGGAGAGAGAGAGAGAGAGAGAGAAATGGGGTTTTACCGTCCACTCAACACAAACTAGGCCATAATGAAACTAACATATGGTTCCATTTCATTTCAATATTTCGCTTGCGTGTAGGTGTCCTGGAGAAAATGCTAATAAGCCTTTTCATTGTAAACGGCGAAAACACATGCCGAAATACTGCCAAAACATGTACATGGAAAAAGGGCCTTAGTCTGTTTACACTTCTGATAAAAATACAAATCGCATCAGGGGTCATAGAAGCGGCTTCTGACCTATTACGTCAGACATTTGATTAACCAAACAGCGTTGATATTTCTAGTTCCATGCTAATCCTTCACATCATCCAGAACGCGTGTTATATAACAACTCTTCCAGATCCTAGTGTAGTACAGACAAGTAAAACAAAATTTGAACTATAAAAACGAAACAAAATAGGATCTGTGTTTTAATCAGCTTCTGTTCAGCCATGACTATTCCATCTTGTTTTTTTTTTATACTTACATAATAAACCAGCAAATACTGCATGAACAACTATAAGTATTGGTAAGAAATACAGAGCTGCGTAAATTGACTTGGTACCTCGGCCATCCACCAGTTTATAGGATACAATCGGTCTGATTGCCATTAAGAAAACCAGGGAGAAGGCATAATATACCATGACCATCGTGTACCTGTAATATCAGGTGCAAAAGTCAATAATAAATAATGGGCTATTCGGATATACAGCTTCTGTTTTATTTTCCATGGGTGTGAACGTCTATACACAGTTCAGCACGTCACCTTTTTAACAGATCATTTGATTGGTTAATCCTTAAACATCACCAAATAAGCGGGTTATTTGACAACTCTGGTGTAAAGAAGATCGGAGACAAGTAATACAAAATTTTAAACTATAAACATCAGTGAGAGAGAGAAATGGGGTTTATCATCAACTCAACACAAACCAGGTCATTTCGGGACTAACATATGGTTCAATTTTATATCAATAATTCGCTTGCGCTTAGGGTTTTTTTAGCAGTGGGAGGAAAACAGAGGACCCAGAGAAAACCCACCATTTTGGACAGGCAACCCTACTCCCTGTCACGTACAACCAGGGAATTGAAACCACACCAGTTGACTCAATGATAGACCTAGTGATACAGCGCACACGTGCTAACCATTCGGCCATCTGCCCCCAACCCCTTCTTTTTGAGGGCAGCACTCGTTGACAAAAGCTTAAGCCCCTGCCAGCTTGGCATTGTTGGTTCTTGGATTGATGTCCTGGTCCATAGTAGGCTAATACTTGTTCTATCATCATTTCCATATTCCTCCAAAATATTGGAAAGTAAATCCGAGCTTAAGTTCATTTTGCGATACTTAGAGAGGATTAACCAATCAGCATCCGTGTTCCAAGTGGCTATTTGGAATAACAACTTTAGTTTCCATGGCTGAGAATGTCTATCCACAGTTCAGCGTGCACCACACAATATGTACTCAACTCAACAGACCATATGATTGGTTTATCCCTCACCCAATAAGCGAGGTATTCAACTCCGGTGTAGTGAAGAAATTTTAAACTGTTAAAATCAGATTATTTGTGATACAGGACCCAGAGAAAACCCACAAGGTTGCACAGGCGACCCTACTCTTTGTCACGTACAACCGGAGAATCGAAACCACGCCAATTGACTCAATCAGTCAATGACAGACCTAGTGATACAATGTGCATGCGCTAGTCATTGGGCCACCCAACACTGCTATAAGAATCAGATTATTTGCGATACTTACAAAGGATAAACTATTTCTTGCGTACAATGAAGTGTTGTCGTGTAATTAGGACTTGGATTATAGAGTAACGTGTACCAGTCTGATAAATGATTAGCTTGACACGATCTAATGGTTAACGGTCCGATAGGATCAGATAAAATCAACGTCAACAAAGCTGCTAAGACACTTTCTACCAGAGCACTGACATGTAGAAAAACTACTGACCTGTCATAGATAAAAAAAAAAAAAATATTATAAAATCATGGAAAAGTGAAATGAGAGAGAGAGAGAGAAAGGTGGGCTTAACATCCACTCAACACAAACTAGGTCATTTCGGGACTAACATATGGTTCAATTTCTATTTCAATAATTCGGTTGCACGTAGGGGTCTTTAGCAGTGTGAGGAAACCGGAGAACCTGGAGAAAACCCACGAGGTTGGAGAGAGAGAGAGAAACAGGGTTTAATGACCACTCAAGTCAACACAAACAAGGTCAGTTTAAACAATGTACATGCATGTACAAGTGTGGGATTGAACCCATGCCACTTGAGTTAATGACAGACTTTATGATCTAAAGTGTATGCATTTAGTGTATGTATTAAATTTCCGGGAAATTAAATGCTTGTAAATTGGACACTCATTATCAAAATTGAATGGTCAGCTTTAAACTGGACACAAGTACTAATTCAATGATTTTTGGTGATTTTAAATGATTTTTACGAATTTTTAAACAAAGATTTGATATTAAATGAATGTGAAAAAAATTAGTTCTAAAAACACAAGATCAAATGATACCCAGGTTACAGTGTATTTTTGGTGATTTTAAACGATTTTTACAAACTTTTAAACAAAGATTTGATATTAAACGAATGCAAAATAACTAAGTGCTAGATACACAAGATTAAATGATATCCAGGTTACAGTATAAATCCCTCAAATGGCAATTTTATGGGTTTTTTTTACAGTTTTGTATAGAAATTTAATTTTCTCACCTCTTGCCTCTTGTTTTGTAGTCTATAAAGAACCAGTGTAAAGCTAGAGATAAGAGAGCCATAAACCCTAGATATAAACAATCATAGAATGATGGGGAACTATTACATTCTATACATTCAGATAGACTATTAGGTTGATAGCCACGAGGACACGCCTGAAATAATTATATAAATACATGTAGTTATAATGAATGAATAGTTATAAACAGTTTTCTATACATTCAGATAGACTATTAGGTTGATAGCCACGAGGACACACCTGAAATAATTAAATACATAGTTATAAACAGTTTTCTATACATTCAGATAGAGTATTAGGTTAATAGCCACGAGGACACGCCTGAAATAATTAAATACATAGTTATAATGGATGAATAGTTATAAACAGTTTTCTATACATCCAGATTGAGTATTCGGTTGATATCCACGAGGACATGCCTGGATGGTTTAATGGTCGAGAGCGAGACATTGCGTAATATATTGAAACAACATGAGGGACGTCAGTCCCGAGCTGTTGTTTCAATATATTACGCAATGTCTTAAGCTCAAAACCATTAAACAACTTAAAATACAGACACTCAAACATGCTTTGCAATGAAATACATCACGCCGGTCAAACATTTCAAATACACGCTTAGCACTTTGCCTGTACCATTATTTTAAATAATGGCATGCCAACTAGGTCAATGCCAACATGAAAGGACGACATCACATCGATCTGTATTTTAAATAGTTATAATGAATGAATGGTTATAAACATTTTTCTATACATTTAGATAGAGTAGTAGGTTCATATCCTCGAGGACAATCATGAAATCATTAAGAGAATATAACATGCTTACATACAGCATGTAGTTATAATAAACAGTTTTTTTGTGGATTGTCTCCTTAAACGTTATTTTGTTTTTATTATAACTGAAGCCTGTATTACGTGTAAGTGTCCACGGTACTGTTCAGTCCTGGCACTGTAATGATACAGACTTTACATGAAATGAAAACAAACTAACAATAAGGGAAACAATCCAGGTAAAATTAGAAAATATTTCCCAAACATTGTATCATACTGGTGTAAGTCATGATCATCTAATGTGCTACAAGAAATCTCAATGTCAGCACATTGAAGAAAAAAACTTTTAAAAATAATTGTTTTCTGAAATTTAGTAAAATATATTTTTATGATAAAAACTCACTCCACACTCTCCATTTCCAACATAGCCACAATATAAACCAGGACATCTTTTACCAGAACCTGAAGAAATAAAAAAAAAACATAGATAGATACAAAACTGACTTCTCAGCGAGACATAGATACAATGTAGCTAAAAAAAAACAGCCTCCACTCAGTGTACATGTACTCTCCACGGAGAGACAGATAGATTTAAATAGGCTCCACTCAGCGTACATACATGTACATTGTCAACAAGACTACAACATGGTAACAATTTGTTGTTAAAGGGGCTTCTATTTTAGTCAATTATCCATTCCTTTTGATGGCACATGTAAATTCACATAATTTGGTAACTTGATTTGTACATTTATTCTCCAAGAAGAGGGGGATATATATAAAATGAGTTCCATTTGACACAACTTATCGTCATTCTGAAACAAATCTATACTTCAGATTTAGTCCAGTTCCCCATTTATTTTTACTAACTGCTATTCACATGCCTCTACAATAGGAAAAGTCAGTTTTTAATCCAGCGTTGAAAGGTTTTGATCATATTTGTGCAATAAATGATGGGATACTTTCTTAACTAAAAGGTCTCGTGGGTCACTCATTCACAGTCTGCCCCAAGTATAAGTGTGAATGTATATATGTGACCACAAAATAGAAAGGTATTGCACCAGGCCTGAGTAAGCTTGAGTAAATAATGAACGCTGTACTACTAAACCATTTCAATCCATACTATGGAAAATATACCAAAAAGTTTTAGTTGAGCTTTAGTCAATCACAACCTGTTGAACAATCATTCCGATAGCCTTATGTCGATAATCTGGATTATACCAAGATTAAATATATACCAAAATGGCGGTTTTCATTTTCTTGAACTTGTACATGTATATATATCATGACGTCAGGTGGATTATTTTATCATGGTAAACCCAAAAATATAAAACGGTAGGCCATTATCAAGCTAACACATGGCATACATGTACCATGTCATCTCCATTTCTTTTTGTCACCTACCAGTCCGATAGGCCTACTTACCTAATTTCATAATAGTTAGATCTGAATTACGATTGACATTTTTACTGACTGTAATTGCTGGCGTCTCTGTGTCAGTGCTGGGTGAAATTTCTGTTACACAAAATGTCAACAAACAGACAATTCCAAAGACAAAATTTTCACAAAATGTACTTCTACCCATTTTTTCTCATTCGTCTGCCTTATATAATTAAAAATGTTAAATTCGAATAGAGGGAAAACATTATTTCTAACAAAAAAATATCTGAACCATTATATATTGCTTAATGCTCACTGGGGAAAAAACGGATGATAAACATTTTTATTTTTTTATGGAAGAAGACTAACTTGATTAGAATATGACATTGATTCCAAACTAAAAGATAATTTAGAAACATATTTGTAATTTCAATGAAAGATTTGTTAAAAATTCACACGGTTTAGTTAAATACAATTAGAATACATTGATAAAGAGAAATATTGATATGAAGTTGAAATTACAATCAAAATAATCTTGTTTTTGACCAAACTTGAACATCAGTGCTAATCTATTCGAATAATATCAGAATCAAGTAAAATTTGTTTTGAAGCCTTGATTAACCAGACGTTATTTGTATTCCCGATTATCCAGCTAAATCGGGTGGGTTTTTTCAATTACCCCTAAGTACCACTAGAATTTCCAGTCAACAAACTCGGTCGATGGTTGGGCTAAAATTTGGGAATAGTTTGTTTGACTGAAATAAAAAACGCACTAACTCAAATATGATTACATCGTTTTTTGTCTATTTTGATTATTTTCCCCCAAGTTCAAATCTGACAGTTGAAGTCACAACTTTATTGAGATTTTCCTTCCAATAGCAATCCCCTAAACAACGTATTGACCTCTCTTTGCGAGTAAGGTCGTCATCTAGGGTTAAGGGTCAACGACTGACGTCATCAACTGAAAACAATGGCCGTACTAATATAAACAACTTGAATTAAGTCTGTGTCCGATGCATAAAACTGATGACAGCATAGTGTCTAGTCGCTTCGGAATAAAAACAACCGTGTGGAGGGATTTATAGAGGAGTAGGCTACATGTTGTTATCTTAGTTACTGCCACCACTGCTTAATAAAGTCAAGCTTTACGTTTTTCCTCGTCATATTGAGCGACTGGATTATTCGACTGGATTATTCGACTGAATTATCTGCTTGATTTTTTTTTCGACCGGATTATTTGACTGTTTTTTCGGCTATCCCCGGCCCTAAATACCTATTTATCAGACTACTTTTGCCCCATAAATTGAACTTGAAACTATTTGGCAGGGGAGGGAGGTGCAAGCCCCCGGCTCTTTTACAGCTATGGCTATGGGTATGACTGAACTACTCGGTATTATCTTAGTTCACTGCAATTCCTGCTTATTATTGAACGGCTGTTTTTAACTTCTCATCATATAACTGTCAAAAGCACATTTTGTCAACTTGATCTGGTATGAAGACCCAACTTGATCTGGGATGTGGATTTATCGACAGTGATATTCGTCTAGTTTTATTGACTGAGATATTCGACTTGTTTTATTGACTGTGATATTCGACTGGTTTTATCATGGTATTATAAGGTCCATGGTTTTATCGACTGAGGTATTTGACTTATTTTATCGACTGAGATATTCGACTTATTTTATCGGACTGGTTTTATCGACTGAATTATTTGACTCGTTTTATTGACTGAGATATTTGACTGGCTTTATCGTCTGGATGAGGCCACAATAAAATAGTTTTATTGACTGGGATATTTGACTTTTTTCGACAATAAAATCAGTCAAATAATTCAGTTGACAGAACCAGTCGAATAATTCAGTCAACAAAACCAGTCAAATAATCCAGTTGAAAAAAAACAGTCAAATAATCTAGTCAACAAAACCAGTTGAATAATCCTGGCGAAAAAACAGTCAAATATCCCAGTCGATAAAACCAGTCGCTCAATATTAAGTACCGGTGGCAGTGAGCTAAGGTAATATAGAATAGCCCAATCATGGTCGTAGCCAGGGGCTTCACCCCCCGCCCCTCCCAACTACTTTAAAGTCAGATTTTTCGGGCAAAAGTCTTATGATCTAGGTATTTAGTTGATACATGTACTAAACGGAGAGTAATGTTTTTGGCCCGTCATCTAAGTGAATAGAATCCTACATAGGCCTGTAGTCAGGGGCTGGGGGTATTGGACGAGTCAGGGTTTTTTTTGTGACCTTGTCAAGTCGAATATTTCAGTGTATGTTTCAGTCGAAAAAAAGCAGTCGCTTGACTTGATGGTGGAGGACCATACTTTATGAATCACTAATTGGAGTGAACTAAGATAACAATAAGTAGCCTGGAGCCACGGTGGCTAAGTGAGTAAGACACTGGCTCGCTAGCCTGGAGGTTTGTTCCTGGTATTGGCCGAAAAAGTTCCTCAGGATTTTCCGGGTGGTTTCCCCCTGTCAGTGGGGCAGTCGTTTGGATGGGATGAAAAACCAAGGTCCCATGTACACATTGGCATGCATGTAAAAGATCCCCTGTATGGCATATGCCTGACTTTATTAGCTCAGTCGGTGCACAACAGTAGGACGTTAAAGCCCATTTTATTTCATTGAGTAGCCCTTTCATGCTCATAACACGGTTCCACTTTCAGGGAATGTATCTGGTCGAGTGTGTTCTCTAAGTATCGGAAATGAATACAGATTTTTCGAATAGATCTTCAACACTTTATTTCAAGAGCAAATAAATAACAGCAACAAGTAAACAACTTATATCTTCCTATAAATTGGTCCTCCAACTGGTACATAGGTTCCCTCAGCTGGTCTCTCCAACTATAATTCATCTTACATACATTTTTCTTTTTATATAAATTAGTTACTATGAAAGTATTGACATAAACATATAATTATTGAAGGATTAAGTCATTTAAACAATAGTAAAAGAAACTTAACAGACCACCCACTTTAGTTATTTAAATCGACTGACAAATTAATTGCTGTCTGCTTCTAATGACTAACCAAGTGAACCAAGATCAATAAGTAGCCTGGAACAACAGTGGCTAAGTGAGTAAGGCGCTGGTTCGCTAGCCTGGAGGTCGCGGGTTCGTTCTCGGTATTGGTGGAGACAGTTCCTCAGGATTTTATCCAGGTGGTTTCCCCTTGTCCGTAGGGCAGGACGGAGGGTGTGACAAAAACTACAGCTGTCTAGTCTTTCGGGTGGCATGAAAAACCAAGGTCCCATGTACACATTGGCGTGCATGTAAAAGATCCCTTGGCAGTTGGAATTCAATATATAAGAGTAGGCTGTAGCGCTACTGTCGGGGCAAAATTTCCCTTGTAGCACACTGTATGGCATATGCCCATCTTCATTAGCCTAGTCGGTGCACAACAGAAGGATGTTAAACCCCATTTCACTTCATTATGTAGCGGGAGTGATTAAGTGGGTAAGACGCCGGCTCGCTAGTCTGGAGGTTACATGTAGGTGTTCGATCCCTGCATTGCCCGAAAGAGTTCATCCAGATTGTCCGGTGTGATTCCCCTTTGTCAGTGATGCAGGACAGAGGGCCTGACAAGGTTAGCTGTGTAGTCATTCGGATGGGATGACAAAACGAGGTCCTGTGTACACATTGGAATAAACGTAAAAGATTCCTTGACAGGTGGAATTCGATATAAGAGTAGGCTGTAGTGCACTGTCCAGACAAAATTTCCCTCATGGCACACTGTATGGCGTATGCCCGTCTTCATTAGCCCAACAGTAGGACGTTAAACTCCATTTCATTTCATATTATTAAGTAGCCCTTTCATGCTCATAACATAGTTCGACTTTCAGGGAATGTATCGCGTGGAGTGTGTTCTCTAAGTATTGGAAATGACTACAGATTCTTTGAATAGATCTTCAACACTTTATTTCAGGAGCAAATAAATAACAGCAACAAGTAAACAACTTATAACTTATAACTTCCTATAAATCAGTCCTGCAACTAAGTTGGTCTCTCCAACTACTGTATAATTCATCCTACATACACTTGTCTTTTTATATAAATTAGTTACTATGAAAGTGTTGAAATAAGCATATAATTATTGAAGGATTAAGTCTTAAGCCATTTAAAACAATAGTTAAAGAAACTGAAGAGATCAAACACTCTAGTTGCCAGCCTGTCATAATTTATATGGAGTGACAAATTAATTGTTGTCTGCTTCTAATGACTAACCAAGCATTAATGAATGTTAAAATATAGATTTGAAATTAAAAATAGAATTAAACAATAATAAAATAACATATGACCTATACATTAGTCATGTGTATCCACCTTAAAATTATTTCAAACAAAAACATGACCCCATGTTTTAATCATTAATACAATCAAAATCCTTATTTTTCCATTATTCAAAATAACATAATCTATAACTATTTTCACGATAATAATTTCTATTCCTGTACAAAGGATTCCTGCTGTAAGGCCTAACATGTCTAAATCTGTGATCTTGAGTCTTGACGGCTGGTGCATTTGGCACTAAAACTTGAAACATCTCGCATGGCTGCAACCTTTATCATGGCAATTGGCAGGATGACACCATTAACACAAGGTTATTAAAAAAAGATACATCGTTAGTGTCCAGAACATTTTGAACACCCGCATCCTTTTTACTGGAGGTCACAGAAACCTGTACTTTTTGGGCACCCTTTGCAAAAAATTCCAGCTGTCGCTGTCTATCCCTTTGTATTTGGACAAAAGAACGATATTTCTTTTCCGGACTGGGTAATTAATTTTCTGAGAAGTCCCTTTTAAAGCCCATTTAAGCCCCTGTTTGAGACTCCAAGACACTGATAGTTGATCAAGATTTCTTATTGCTGCTACTGCTGCTGAAGGAAGAATAAAGTTGATATCCATGCCTTCTTCAATATATATTATGTACAATTTGACTAGCAGGGAATGTAGCTCTTCGACGTGTGTTCTGTTAGGATCAGAAATGAATACAGATTCTTGGACTGGATCTTCAACACTTTATTTCAGGAGCAAATAGTGCCTACATAACAGCAACAATTAAACAACTTATAACTTCCTATAAATCGGATCCCCAATTACATGTAGTATATAGGTTTCCTAGGTCTCTCCAAGTAATGATTCATCTTACATAAATCTGACATTTTAACGTGGCCTCGTCCAGACGATAAAATCCCACACATATCTCAGTCGATAAAATCAGTCAAATACTTCAGTCGATGAAACCAGTCGGAAAAACAGCCCATTGAGTAGCTCAATGTTCGTTGCCATAGCTGTAGGAGCCGAGGGCTTGGGCGGGGTTTGGTCCTCACCCGTCGCAGGAGATA